TTACTTTTTTTTCTGTTTTTTGTCTTCTTTTTTCTTGTCTTTAAGAAATTTCATTTTTAATTGGAGTATCTGTTAAAATTCTTGTTTTACCTAGCCTGGGGTGTTTACCTTTCAGTTTCCTAGGTCCTAGGTGGAGCAACTGGAAATGGCCTGATGTCTTCAGGTTTAAATATTGTAGCGATCTCATCAAGAACATTTTTGCAAATTTCAATAGTGTTATTCAATTGGGGATTTGATGATTCACTTGGTTTGTAGGCACTATCCTGCTGTGAAAAAACTTGATCTGTAGACTCTAAATTATTCAAACTGTTAGGATTCACAGCTTCACAATCCGTCAATGTTTCATCTGGTGCACCATTGAATCTATCAGTTACTTTGGATGGTAGAAATTCTTCTTCAGCAAAAATATCTGAATTATGTGGCCAAATGCCTGTAACTTTGAATCCGGAAGTGATGTTTTCAATAGACATTGCACTTTTGTATGCTTTTGCCACCAGTCCCGGTATATCATAAATGTCTGGTCGATGAGCAGTATTATTAATCATAAAGTCTTTTAATGCAGTGTTGTAATACCTTTTAAATGGACCGTAAACAGTACGATCAAGAGGTTGTAGTTTGTGGCTACAATGAGGAGGGAAACTGAGCATAACTATTCCGTTGTTCTTGGCATAATCGATCGCTTCTATAGACAAGTGTGATTCATGGTTATCCAAGAGAAGGAGCACAGGTGTCTGAATGGAACATCTTACCTTAAAAAACAATTATTGATTTGAATTTACTTTAAAATATGTAATTTGAATAACAAATCATTATTTCTAAACAAATTTATAATTAAAAACTCACATGATGAACAAAATGTTTCAGATACATTAACCCATTTACGCCTAAAACAAAACTACTGAATGAAAAACGTCAAATTGTGCAAAATTGTAAAATATGAAGTATATTTAATATGTTTATTCAAAAAAAATTAAAAAAATTTATTTAAGTATAACGTTATAAAGGCGTCCTCAAATGGGGACGTTAGGCAGATGCGAGATGATACTTTTCGAAACACCCCTTTTCGATGCATAGTGTTTTGCCACATTTTTTACACATCCATCTAGCTTTCATGTGGCAAAAAGTACACTTTAGTTGTTTTTCCAATTTTCCAGGGAAGTGAAATCCTACTGTGGTTTCAATACTGGATCCGGCTTTTCTCTTTCTACTGGCTCTACTCGCCGCACCGTCTCTCAAATAGCCACGTACTATATGGCGACGAAACTCGAGTTGGTCCATTACATTCTCAGAAGTTATTTGCTGAATTTTCCAAGCATTGGTCATTGCCATGTCTAAAAAGTACGTAAATAAAACCCACCACCACTTTTTCCCTTTTACGCTTATTCGATATAGGGATAAGCATTGATCATGGTTATCTACTCCTCCCATTCCAGAATTGTAAGATGCGAACAATTTCGGCTGAAGAATGTTTTCTTTAGATTTGGTTGTTCTTGACCATCTCTTTACATTGTTCAGTGGTTTGATTGAATCCCAGTTAGACAACATGCTACAAGCACTGTTGTCATACCATTTTACACATAAAATGCCATTTGCTTTATCAAATTTGAAGTCATAAGACCCTCTTGTCATTTTTTTAATTTCTTTTGATTCCATCAATGGACATTTCTGCGTTTGATTTTCTCTGACTGTCCCTGTGGCATTTATATGTTTTTTCTTTAGGTACACCATCAATGCGTAACTAGTGAAATAATTATCGAAATAGATATTATTTCTTGATGGTTCTGGTAAATGTTTTAGAAGGTCCAACACAACTTTAGCTCCTAGTGGTAATGCTTTGGTGTCTTCAGTTTCATTTGGTTTTTTTTCCACAATAAACATCGAAACCATAGCAGTATCCACTGGAGCTAGCTATCATCCAGTTTTTATACCCGAATCTCACGGGCTTACCTTTAATGAACTGTTTTGCTGGATGATGTCCATAATATTTTACCATAGATTCGTCAATGGAAATGTCTTTATGAAAACATCCCCATTGACAAAAGTTTTCTTGCAACTTGTCTGACAACGGTCTAATTTTATACATGCGGTCATTAGAATCTGCAATTTTGGAATTATCAGCCAAATGAAGAAATCTCTTTATTTCCAGATACCTGTCTCGACTCATAGCATTATAAACACATGAGACTCCGAGATCTTCATCTAGTGACCAATATAAACGCTCTCTTGGCAATGGATTGTATCCAGTAAAATATAAGATTGCTAAAAAAGTTCGTAGTTCCTCTGGTTCTATTGTAAATGAGTGGTTATTTTTTTGTCGTGCATAAATGATGGATTGATGGCATATGTAATTAGTAATATCCATGGAAAGAAATTTTTCAAAAATTTGTCTTGAAGACAAATCTTTAAGGTTGTCTTTGATTTTTTGTAGGTCTTCATCAAACGAATTACTTGTACTAGGTGATGCTGACAAAAAATCTGATTTTGTCCATTTGGGTTTTTCGAATGTAGTATATTGTTTATATAAACCTTCAGATATTTGATCAGGTTCGTTTTCGTTATCCGGTTCGTTATTCAAATCAACAGATATTTGTATAGTTCCTGAAATGTCTTTTGGAACATAATGAGGATCAATTATATTGTCATCATCAATTTCTTCGACATCTGTCAATTCGTCCAAATCTGGAGGAAGGACACACAAATCAATACTGCCAACTGTTTCAAAATTATCACTTTCTATCTCTTCCAAGGCTTTTTCTAATTATTGAAAAGTTTTAGTGCCATAAAAGGATTTAGGATCCATGTTATTCACGTCTGAGGTAAAATCAAAAAGTTAACCATAATAAATTCATTTGTGCCTAACGTCCTCGTACGAGGACAGTAAGATGTTTGTGTTTGTAAATTACTTTATATCAAATTAATATTCAAAATAATGTTACTAACATAAAGATTAATCCAAAGACTTCTTGTTTTTAAAATAAAATTAAAAAATTTTAAAATTTTTTTAACAGAAAAAAAATTTGCAAAAGTAGCTCTGGCACTATGAAAAAATCGCCTACTTCTAAGCTTCGTCACATCAAACACATGCACAAAAATGTCTAAATTACACTCACTACTAGTTAAATGGTATGCATTACCAGGATGTAGCAAGATAATTACCTTTAAAACACCTCCCATTTTAATTGATGCCAAATTCAAGAGGCGTACTCAAATGAGTACGGCCGGCATTAATGGGTTAAGAAGCTTTCTGAAGTCATCCATCCACTAGGATGACTAGTTCCTATGCAACCAGCAGGTCCAAAATTTATAAAATGACTTTTGAAATGAACCCTCGGAAATATGAACATCGGAGGTATTGCTTGACCAATGGCATTAATAGCACAACAAATTGTAACCAGTTTGCCTCGATCCTCACTACCCGTAATTGCTCCAACTTGCTTTTGTCCTTTTGGTGATAAAACTTTTATCGCAACCAGCAGGTCCAAAATTTATAAAATGACTTTTGAAATGAACCCTCGGAAATATGAACATCGGAGGTATTGCTTGACCAATGGCATTAATAGCACAACAAACTGTAACCAGTTTGCCTCGATCCTCACTACCCGTAATTGCTCCAACTTGCTTTATTCGGTAGAAAATTATGACGAGCCTTTACGTCTTCTAGATTTAAAAAACAAGCAACAACATTTGTTTTATTAAAACAAGACGCTCTTCCCATTGACGTTGTTCTGGTTTTCGAATTGAAATTTGCGTGTTTCGTTTCAAGAAACCATCAAACTAATCCTTCCCGGCTATCTGTCCTGAATGCTAATTATCTGGAGTATTATTCTTATTTTTAATAGCCATTTGATATGCCAGTTTTCTCATTTCCATTGCCGTCAGACCATAATACATCTTACATGATGTAATTAAATAATTACAAAAAATCAATTCTTCTTCTAATGTGAAAACTCTACGATTTCCCCAAAAACCAATCATAGGTGAATTTTCATTATTTGCAAATCTCTTAACATATCGGGATAATGTAGTTTTGTCTATCTCAAACTGTTTGGCCACTTTTCTCAACCCTTCTCCCTTTTTTACCATTAGAACAGCTTTGCGTACAATTTCCAAAATATACTTCCCTCTTTCTGTTTTTCGAATATGAGTTCGTGGCATGTCTTCCAAAATAAATATAATAAATTAAATAATGCTAATAAAAATAAATAAAAAAAAAACATAAATAATTTATGTTTTATTCAATTAATTTATCAGATAAATTAATACAAACCAACCTAAATTTATATTTACTGATTATATAACTAAAAGGTAAAGAGTTATAAAGAACACATAATAATTAATTATTCAGGGTTGATTGAAATGTCTCATTCAACCCTTTAAATGATTGTCTCAACCATCCCCAACTGAGGTTTAGGTTATAAAAGTTCTATTAACTTTTTTATTGTCATTGTTTAAGTGACAATATTATATGAGAAGAATCGCTAAATAAACAATAAAATTAATAATAGCAAACTGTATTTAAAAAAACAAAATTAATGTAAAATAAAACGAAAAAATGTGATCACCTAAATTTTACTTTCGAGGTCCAAAAACAGTTTTTTCAGTCCGGAAACTAAAAACGTGCATGAAATTTGATCCGCTTTTAGATAAACATAAATGACATGATATTTGACAAAGATAAACTAAAAGAGTACCCTTAAAGTGCATAATTTTCTTATTATTGACCTGTCCCATCCAACCCTTTGTCTCAACCATCCCCACTCTCCCCTATAATTAATTTACCATTTCAAAATGGTATATTTCCAAATTGTTTAAAACTATCTAAAGTCATTCTTTTTTTAAATCTGGCGATCCCCATGGTATGAATAACTGTCGTCCAATATCTATTATATTGAGTCTTTCCAAAATGATTGAAAAGATTGTTTTCATGAACTTAACCATTCAATTTTGAATAAAATTTTGATTACATTTTATGAAATGAGTTTTTGAAATAAATTTTGCAGGTTTGCAAGTATCATTTGTGTTCATTCTGCCCCCACGAGTTATTCACGAACACAAGAGCTGATCTGGGTCTGTGCAACAAGATACATGATGATGAATTGGCAAGAAAGTTTGTATTTTCATTTGAATGTTGTTAATTGTTAACTGGCATTTTCATTATGTTCATTTCATGCTCAAGCTTTAATGGGCTAATGAACTATCTTGGCTAAAACTAATTTTAGATGCTTCATACATTTTTTAAATTTCCATAAAAAATTTGTATTAGATTGGTGAACAAGGCTCCTCACACTTCAAATAGCTTAAAAAAGAGATGCCACAAAAATTTTATTTTAAAACTCAACCTCTAATAAGATCGAGCAATAAGTGAGAGGAGTGATACTGTTTATTCCTAGCCGATTTTATTGTAGCTCAGTTAAGCTTCTATTAACTTTTTGATTTTTTTTGCAGCTATAGAAAGAGTAGTAAATTTATGAAGATGGGATATGAGGAGGAATTTTTGTTTTACTTGGAATCCCTGGTCAGCGAAGTGGACAGGCGCATCAAAAGAGGACATGCCAGGCTGGCCCTCAATGCTGCACATCAAGCTGTTAGTCTCTGCAAAAAAAGATTGTTTTTTTTATATTTTTACTTTAATTTTTTCAATACAATTTTTTCAACTATGTTGATTTATTTATTTGTTGCATCATTCACCATTTTAAGTTATGAGTTATATATAGGTATATATATATATACACATACATATATAGGTATATATATATACCTATATACATACACACGTATACACACATATGTATACATACACACACACATGAGCCAATTAACTCATGTGTGTGTGTATGTGTGTGTAGTTATATATATATATATATATATATATATATATATATATATATATATATATATATATATATATATATATATATATATATTATTTATATATGCTCATGTACTTCCAAGTTATTTAAAGTCTTCATTTAAATATTTTGCCTCAACTAGGCTAATTATAATTCAATATAATACTAAACACATGCCATCCTCTGCAGCAACAACTGCAAGGAATCACAGATGCCCAAGATGAAAGGATCAAACAGCTGACCATCAAGATTAACGAGGCCATTGAAAAGGTATCTTTTTTTTCTGAATTCTTTTAACAAATAGTTTTTTTTTAATTTTTAGTATCTTTTCCACAATTTAAATGAATGCTTTATTGCAATTATTAAATTTTTATCTGAATCTGTATAACGTCTTGCACCCGTACATGTGCTAATTGTGTGTTGAACAGGTTGAAAGTTTGGGATGTGAAGGCAAGGTGGAGGAAGCCCAGCAGTTGATGAAGCAGTGCGATCAGATGAAGGAGGAGAGGAGGCTCCTTGAAGAATTCAAAACCAATTACGCTATCAAGGTTCCTGCTAATTATTATTCATCATTTACAAATACAGATTGTTGTCACCATGATTATTGCACGTCAATTCTCTATTCATCGTTACTTATCATCATCTTCCAACTAATTTAATAATAATTTTTGTCATGTTTTAATCATATCCTTTCTTATTATTTATCAGCATGGCTTCATTTGAGTCTGCTGCTTTTTTTATATTTAACATCAAGTTGGATAACTTCATTTGTTTGATCTTGCAGCAAAGTCAGCCACTGAATTTGAACAACAGCCACAAGGAGATGGAGGTCTGCCCGATCTGTGGAGCATTCCTTGTAGTGGGGGATGCCATTCAGAGAGTTGAGGAGCATCTGCAGGGGAAGCAACACCTGGGTTATGCCAGGGTCAGGGAAACTATTGAAAATTTGAGGGTTAGTAAGTTATCCTGTTGATGTAATTCTTTGGTTAAAAGCAATTTTTTTGGATTGCTGATAGGTTATACTGTTCTTGAAAAATTAAATATTCATTGATATGTCAAAAATAACAAATTTGAATCCAATGTCATTGTAAATTATAACATTTCAGAAACAGTTGAAAGGTGAAGATCCAGAACGTGAGGCTCGTCTGCAGAAAGAACGTGAAGAACGAGAGAGAGAGAAGATGAAAGAAAGATCTCTGACTGTAAAGGATGATAGAAGGTCCAGGGAACACAGAAGCAGTTCGAAAGGTCACAGAAGCAAGTCAAAAAGTGAAAGAAGTAGGTCTAGAGGAAAGGATAGAGGATCCAGGAGTCACAGAAGTCGATCCAGAGGTCGCCGAAGTCGTTCTAAGGGTCATAGAAGTAGGTCACGAAATCACAGAAGTAGGTCAAGAGATAGGAAACACAAAAGATCAAGCAGGGATGATGATAGAAAGAGGATTGATGATCGTCGAAGCAGATCACGTGACAGAAGAGGTTCAAGGTCAGATGATGGGAAGAGGAAAAGAGAAACTTATAAGAGTTCATCAAAGGAGTATGTTTCATTGTAATGTAGTTATGGGCCTGAATGGTTGTGCATGCATGCAATTGTGTGTTTTTGTTGCATTATGGATACAGATACATATTAAATAAATGTTAGTGTCTGACTGAAACTGGGATTTAAGTCAAAAACTAAACCGTAAAGCAGCCTTTGGTTTTTGTTCTAGTTTCACTTGATGCCTCACTTGAATTTTGTAATTTCAAGTTGAAATATATTTAAATTTTATTGATGTCTTCTGCTTAACTGTCACTAATTTAAGAATTAGTTGAAAAAAATTAGTTGAATTGTCTGTGTTGATTGTATGAGTGTATATGTGTATTTAAAACATATGAAGCTGTATGGAGCTGTATTGTGGAGTTATATATTTGGTTTGGTAATTTGTGGCAAACTGAAAATTTAAATTTGATTAATGCGAGGCACTTCTTTTTTAAATTATTTGTTTGGTTTATTTACAAATGCTTTTTAAAAAATAGTATTCAATTAAATAAATCTCGTTATAAAATGAGTTTTGGTGCAACTGAAGGTTAACTGATTTTTGATCAAAACATGATGTCTCTGATAAAATTATTGTTGAGTACTTGGAATTATTGATGGATGAAACTGATTTCATCATTGACAGATCCTCTGTTAAAAGAGTAAGCTCGAATGATAGGGAGGACGTGAGACAGCATTCAAAAAGAAATGTGTCATCAAATGGAATGAATCCATAAGAGGTATACATAATAGCTTCCATGTCCTGCTTATTCAAGTTAGTCTACATTATTTAATTTATTTTTATCCTTTTTATGTTGTAGAATCGAGCACTGGGGTCTATTGGGTTTTCCCAGTGTACTAAAAATAAATAATTCAACCCTTTTGCACCCCGAGGATCTTAGGAAAGGTTTTTGCTTGTAATTACGTTTGTTGATTTGTTTATATAAGAAAATAATTGATAACCAACCTGTGTGGTTCATTTGATTGCACGAAGATTTAGACACTAGCTCAGAGGATATAAAAAAAGGTAACATTCAATGTTTAATCTAGCAGCAAGGCGCATATCTTTCTAGTGTGCGAAAAGGTTTTTACAGTTGTTCCACTTGTTTTTATATCTAGTTTTTTCTGCCATTAATTTGTTTTTTCTCCAAATTTTTCCGTTGTTTCACCAGTTTATTTACTTTGTATTGTTGTTTGTGTTGTTTTCTGTGTCATCGTACATTGTGATCAAATGATTATCTGCTTCGTTTGTGTGAGCTGAACTACCGCCTCTCATCTTGCCTACTGTTTGTTTCTTCTTCTTGTTATGTTCGTCACATGGTCATTGTTTGTTGTTGATAGCATCGGTTGCTTAGAGACAGTTGTCAAAGATACCTACTACTACTCGGATTTGAGGTTTTCATGATACAAAGATATTAAATGAAAATATTTACAAATTTTATTTAAATAAAATTTATTTCATTTTATTAGTGCAATCGCATATTTGATCTATTTAATTTATGGATGGCTTGCTTCTCATCTACTGCACCATCAATTCATCAATTTTTTAAAGAAATTTATTGGGTTAAATTCTCAAAATTTTTATTTTGAGTTACAATGATTTATATTTTTGCTTCATTTTCAGGTCATGCAGTTGTACATAATGTATAGAAATGTGAAACCATCATTGCAACATCAGCCCATCAGCATCAACATCATTAACCATATGTCGTCTGCAGTGATGAAATGAAGTCTGTAAATGATGATATTTCATGTTGGTGATGAACTTTTTATTTAATTTGACGCATGTGGCTTTTTAATTTGGCAGAATGTCTTGATAGTGTGATTTTGTGTATATGATTGTGCGTTTTTAATAAATTAATGTTTTAGTTTCTTCGTTTAAATATCAGAATATAAAATTTTTGATTAATTAATTAATTAATTAGTTTAATTAATAAAATATTCTTCTGTAATTTTTTTTGTTTCAATTAAAAATGTGAACAAATTACAAACTCTTGTTTTTTAGCACTTGAGTGAAAAAATTTGGCAGCTTTAAACTTGTGTTTCGTTGAATTTATTTATTTAGTCAGACGGAGCGTTACGTTGCATACGCATTCAGTGGCTTCTGTCATTTTATTGAGAAATTAACTTGAAAGAAACAACTGACTAAGTAGTCTGTTGACGTCAGTAGTCAGACTGCTACTGCCGATTTTAGGTTCCTCTGATTTGCATCTTTCTTACTGCTAGAAAATAATAATATTCAAAATATATGGTGCTTGTAGATTTGAAGTGTGATTAAGTGAACTCACCGTATCGTTATGAACTAACCTAGACAAAAAATGAGAAAAAAGTTGCTTTCGTATACTCTGTTAATTTTAAGTTCAAAAATAACGTGCAAGCAGCCCTTCCTTTTACTGAGCTGTGCCAAAGAAAAAAAATTTCAAGCCTGTTTTATTTTTGTAACTTTTTCAGCTTGTCTGTCATGTCTTTGAAACCATGCAAAGAATGTTTCACAGGTCACGTGGGACTTGGTAGCCAGGGGCATCAGCAAAAGGGGGGAGGAGGCATTTGTTAAAGTTGGGGGGGTTTATTATATAAATAACTTTTTGAAACTGCTTTAACGTTGTGGCTATCAATGGAATAAAGACCATTTGCTACCAATAATGTCAACTGCTCCACTCTTTATTGTAAATAGAAAACTCAAAATTCACAACAAAATTGAAATTTTGTCCCCAACATTCAAAAGGAAATGACGTCTCTGCTAGTAGTTCTTGTTTGAACGAAACAAGGAACTGCTGGCTTTCGCGGTGAGATCTGTCGCCAACAGGTCCAAATAGACTTGAAACTTTTTTAAGATTTATTTTTATATTTGTATTTAGAAATGCAATGACGAGAGCAGAATACTCGCTTTATAAATAGCGAATGTTCCTCGGTTGAGTAACAAAATGGAAGCATGTTTACCTATCATAGTCGAAATGGTGGTATTCTGATAACGAAAACCATAATGATCAAACAATTTGAACCATAATGATCGAACAGTTGGTATATGTCTATAATTAAAATTTGGATAAGTTTAATTTATCCAGATGTTCTTTTAGATTAAAACGTGTCGTCTCATACTACTACTGTATCGCCCTATCTTATTCTTTCCACTAAAAAAATATCAAAAAGGGCGCATTGCATTGATGTGGAGTACTTCAGCCGACGGAATTGTGTATCATAAGTTATGACTAAATAGCGTTATATCATGGGCGGGTGTTACTATTATATTATAAGTTTGATGTTCCAAGTATATGGATGTTACGGATGAGATAAAGAATGAAGCATTTGGATATGTTTAACGCCTCAAAAAACTATTGCTACAACAACAACAACAACACACGTTTAGACGGCATTTTCCCCGAGATCGGGGAAAATGCCGTCTAAAATGCCGGGAAATTGCAAAAAACTATTGCTAATTAACACAAAAAGGAAAACTAATTGAAGATCGAACGTGCACACTCCCCCCTCACGTTTACTTTCATTGTCCCGTCAGATCCATACAACTACATTTCCTACTTCAATTAAATTATTTATTAATACATTAAATATATTGAATTTTTTGTGAGTTTGAAAAGTAATATTCGACCTAAGTATATAATGTTTATAATCCATTTCCTCAACAGAAATCACTCGGGATGAAGACGAAAAGGTCACTCGACTTTCATTAATTGAGGGCAACTCGTCAAACAAGCTGACCGCTGAACATCATTTTTGAATTTATAACTAGAAATTATCCTTTACTATGTTGTTGACTGATAGTTTTATACAATTTTTAAATATATAGATTTATCAAAATAAATCAAATTTATGAAATGACTTTCATTCAACGGACACTCGATAAGCTGCATGGTTATTTCGTATGAATTACACGTTTCGGTCAAAGTTTTAATTATCACGTCAAGAAATAAATTGAGTTAAAAACTTTTCGCGAATGTCAAGTTGTCGGAAGAGAGAGCTCCATGCATTCAACAGGTGTGCAGCCAGGCGTTCATTACGCTAATGCACTTTTTTGTGTATTTTATGTACTATTCTTTATTATTTTCAGTTATATTAACTAGTTAAAATCGAATTGAAATAATAAATAAATTTCTGTTAAGTTGATATCTAAACCCTGTTTAAAATTACAGTTAGCAAGCTTTTTTATACAATTTTGTTGCCAATGCTATAATAATAATATAATATATTATAGTGTTTGCTGATTAAGATATATTGAAATGGGAGCTAACATGAGTTTGAGTTGTGAATATCAGCGTGGTGTAGGTATCCACAATTTCAAATTTTTGCCTGGATGAACGTTTTAAAAAACTGGATTTGAATGATATCACTTAAAGAGACTTCGCCTATAGCAGGAAACGTGCGGGAAGCGTTCATTCACGGACTTACAAACGCTGTACTTATGTGTGCATTGATAACTCGTGATAAGGCAATTGATAGTGTTT